TCACAAGTGGCTTATCTGTAGGAATTTCTGGCTAATAATTATGTTTTATGGTTGAAAGCTTAATTTAGTTATGAGTTTTAGGGTGATAACTGTATATTTACAGCAAACTTTTAATTTCACAGATATGTTCAGGCTTCTGAACATAAGAGTGGAATGTATTCTAATAATTTAGAAAAAGGATACTGTAAACTGGCATTGGCAGATGTACAGTAAAGTCTTATGACCAGTAGAAATTGTTTTTATTTTCCCAAGCAGGTAAATCTTTTTGTTTTGAAATATGTGGGATAGTAAACGAGTCTTTTTGTTGATATGATGCCTTGTAGTTGATACAGCACACTTCGTTTGGTTATAAGCTCAGTGAAGAATAGTCATTAGTGTGAGGCTAAGAGATTAGTATCTTTTAAAGACTGTCCAAGAGACATGCTTTTTAATGTTTAAGGTTTCCCCTGTGCCAGACTCAAGACTTTACTTTCAGCAGTTGGGTATTTATTGTCTTTGAAAACCTTAGGATATACATGAAATAACTATGTTTGGGTTGGTTCTCAAGCACAGCTGTTCATTTGGCCATTATAGCTTTGCTTATGTAGTGAATTAGATTTCATTCCATAGTTGTTCCTCCCTCCATGTTTCATAGTTTAAATTAGGGGGAAAAAGGAGAGATGAGAATATATTTCTCATGAAGCTCATAATAGAAATGAATGGGGGTAGAAATGATCATCTGAATTTCAGGAACTTATTCTGTGAATTAGAGTACTTGTTTTTAATGAAAAAGGATACTCCGGTGAAAGGTTTTCATAGAAAATATTTTATTTCCTAATTAAATTTAAATTATTAACATTTGTGTGTGTGTGTGTCTGTGTGTCTGTGCGTGTGCGTGCGTGCACAGGGGGAGGGCATGCATGCCATTGTGCACTTGTGGAGGTTGGAGGACAACCTAAGAGTTGATTCTTTTGACAATGTCCTGGGATTGAACACAGATCCTTGGGCTTGTCCCAAGCACCTTTACCCACTGAGCCTTCTTGCCAGCCCTTATTTCCTAATTTTAAGAACTTGTAAACTTTCCTAGCTCTGACTACCCTTAATGGGCAGTTTCCATGAGATGTCATAAAATGATACTATATATTTTATAGTATACATTCAGTAAATGTGTTGACTGAATAGGTAATGTGATTAGTTAAGTCAAAGAGGAAAGAGAAGTATGATTTGATGCATATTTAGCAATGATTAATTTGGCAGAAAAGATTTTCATATTTCTGAAATATGTCATTCCAAGAGGTTAATAATCATGTTTTATAATCTTTATTTTAAAAACATCTGATTAGATAGATTTTCAGGACAGTATAGGTATAATCTTTTATCTGACCAAAACGGCTGTCACTATTGGTATTTTCTTTCTAACTTTTTAGCACTGATTGATATTAACATCCCCCCCAATAATTTTAGCTCTGTCTAAAACCAATTAGCATCTTCTATCAAAATTGAAGCTATGTAAAAAAAAAAAAGTTATGTGGCTCTGTGTTTCTTTGTTAGATTATATGAGGAAGAAAAATCTTCCTCAATTCATTCTTGCTTGTATTCCCTTAGGATATTTTAGGCATGTCAGCTGTTAGGGCTCTGATTAAGGATTTATACAGTTGGTCCCCTTTGCTTGAGCTGCGATCCTGTTTGAAAAGCCTTAGCTTTAGTTTCTAGAGTTATAATATATTGTGTCTTTCTTTTTTTTTTCAAATGAATTTATATTACTAGGGAAGGTCAGTAATAAAACAAAAAGAAGGTTTTGGTGGGTATTATGTCATATCTAGTTCCTTTATCTTTCAGCTTTATCTTTATCTTTCAGTCAATATTCTTTTTCCTCCTCTTTCATGCTTTATTAACCCAAGATAAAAGAAAAACTGATTTTTCTAGAAGATCAGGTTTTATTAGGGAAAGCATAAATATTTTACATGACACTTCTTTCAGAAACAGTTTTAGAGAGCTAATGTAGTGTATAGAGCATTAGGTCCATGAGATGCTAATGAATTTTTTAGGGGGTTTGACACAGGGTCTTCTTGTAGCACAGGTGGCCTTGAACTCGCTATATATATCAGGATGACCTCAATCTCACAGAGATCCACCTGCCTCTGCCTCCTGAGTGCTAGGATTAAAGGAGGGCGCCACCGTGCCTAGCTTGATTTTCATATTTTTCCAGGAAAAAGAAATGATAGTTCTGAATGTAGGGGCCTATTAAGTCCTCATTTGAATTATTTCAAGCAAGTCTTTGAAAAATTGTTCTTCTTTAAAGCTGTTGCACTTATTCTATTGTAGTTTGAAATATTAAATATATGAACTGGTCAAGAGGTCTGTCTCTTTTTTAAAATATTTTATTTATTTTATTTCATGTGTACGAGTATATTGCCTGCATGTATATGAGTGCGCTTGTGTCGTGCAGTCCCACAGAGGTCAGAAGAGGGCTTCAGTTTCCCTTGGAACTGGAGTTAAGGACTGTTCGTAGCTGCCATATGGGTCCTCTGCAAGAGCAGTCAGTGCTCTTAACCACTGAACCATCTCTCCAGCCCCCAATTTGATATGGGGTTGAATGTAGCCTAGGTTGTCTTTGAAGTCATTATGTAGCTGAAGATGACCTTGAACTTCTGATCCTCCTGCCTCCATCTCTTGAGTGCTGGGATTACAGGTGTTTACTGCCATGCCTGGTTTTATGGAGTATTGGGGATCAAGCCCAGGGCTTCATGCCTGCTAAGTAAACACTCTAATGACTGAGCTCCATCCTTGTACCATTCTACACAGCCCTTGGTATTTTTTTGTTTTGTTAATTTTATTTTAATTAATTAATTAATTAATTTCGAGACAGGGTCTCCCTGTAGCCCCAGCTGGCCTGGAACTCACTAGGTAGACCAGGCTGACCTTGAACTCTCAGAGATCCGCCTGCCTCTGCCTCCTGGGTGCTTGGACTAAAGCTGTGTGCCACCATGCCTGGCTTGTTTTATTAATTTTAGACAGTGTTATATCACATAGCCCAGGTTGGTTTGAATGCAAGATCACCCTGCCTCAGCCTCCTAAATGTTCCATTACACTTTGCATACTTACTTGCTTTGTTGTTTGTTTATTTATTTGGGCTTTTGTTTTATTTTGAGAGTCTGACTGTAGCTCAGGATGGCCTAGAACTCATTATGTAGCCAGCCCAAGCTGACCTTAAACTTGTGATCTTCCTGCTTCAGACTCTGCAGTGCTTGCTGGGTTACAGGAATGTGCCACCATATGCAGCTATTTATGTTTTTGACTTGGTATCTCATTATGCTAGCCAGTCTAGCTTTGAACTTCTGGGGTCTTTCTGCCTCAGTCTCTTGATTATCTGTACCACTAGGCCTAGCTGTTAGAGATCACTCCCCAACCCCCAACTTATCTTATAGAAATAAACATCAGTTGAAAAATACGTAAAGGACCTGTCTTAGTTTCTTTGTATTGCTGTGAGAAAAACACTGACCAAAACCAACTTGGGAAGGAAAGGGTTAATTTGTCTTATAGCTCACAGTCCATCATCAAAGGAAGCCAAGGCAGAAACTCAGGGCATGAACCTGAAGCACAGACCATGGAGGAATTCTGCTTACTGCCTTGCTCCCCTGGCCTGTGCTCAATTTGCTATCTTATATAACACAGGACCACCTGTCCAAATGGTGCACCTCCCAGAGTAGGCTGGGCCCTTTTATATCACTCAACAATCAAGAAAATATTCCACAGTCATGACTGTAGGCCAATCCAATGGAAAAAAATTGCTCAGTTGAGTTTCCCTCTAACCAGGTTTGTCAAGTTGACAAAGCTGTGTAGCACAGGACCTGAATAGACGTTTCTCCCAAGAAGACTTATAAATTGCCACTAGATATATGAGAAGGTATTCAAAATCACTAATCATCTAATCATTAGGGAAATTCAGATTAGAACCATAATTAAATACTATTTCAGATCTGTTAGGATGACTTTTATCAAAAAGATAGTATAACAACTATTTACAAGAGTATAGAGAAGCTGGTACATTTACAGTAGAAAATGGCATAAAGGTTCCCAAAGAAATTTTTAAAAACATTATTTTTATTTTATGTGTATGTGTGTATTGCCTGCGTGTAGGTAAGTGCACCTGTGTCATGCAATGCCCATGGAGGACAGAAGAGGCTGTCGGATCCCCTGCAACTGGAGTTATGGACAGTTAAGCTGCCATGTGGGTGCTGGGATTCGAACCCAAGTCTTCTGCAAGAACAACCAGTGTTCTTAACCGCTGAGCCATCTCTTCAGCCCTGGTTCCCAAAGAAATTTTAAAAATATAACTACCATATAAATCAACAATATCCCCCCCATCAAATTACCATTTAAAGATGCAGTCTTATGTTCATTGCATCATTATTCACAATAAGCAAGATATAGAAACCAAAGTATTTGTCTACAGATGAATGGGTGAGTGTGAGCTCTATACACATGCACAGAGGAATATTATTTAGCCTTTAAAAAGAGATTCTATCATATATAACACCATAGATGAACTTAGATGACGTGCTAAGTGAATAAGGCAAACAGAAATACTGCATGATATCATTTATATGTGAAATCTTGGAAAAAGTTAAATGTGTAGAAATAGAGATTAAATTAGTGGTTGGGACTGTGAATGTGAAGATACATTATAGATCAAAAGATACATAGCTGCATTACCTAGTAGAAACATGTCTAAGATCTGTATGCTTGTAAGTACACACCCACTCACCCTATCAGTAATGGAGGAAGGGAGAGAAAATTGTATGATATGCTTAAGTTGCTTGACTCTAGTACTCACTATGTGTGTGTATGTATGTGTAATATCAAGGAATCGTGTTAAACACCTTAAATACATACAGTAACAAAAAAGTCAGTTGGAAAAATAAAATGAATGAGACAGTATAGAAAAATAGTCAAATAACTAAATTAAACTTCAATGTTAATTGAGATACTTTTTTTTTTTTTAAATTCTCTTTTCATAGGGTGTTTGTGAACCGAAGTTTAGCCATGGAAAAAATAAAGTGTTTTGGTTTTGATATGGATTATACCCTTGCTGGTGAGTAACCCTTTCTGATTGCTTAGGACACTGATGTTTTTGGTAGAATGCATAGGCTCCACAGTAGGCAGTTCACCCACTTGTGGATTTAATCATTTATTTGACTGCCAGAAACCTGTGTCAGATTGTCTCTATTGAGATTTGTGAATACTGAAAGTATCCAATATTCCTGAGGTTTGGTTCATGAGCTTGAACAGATAGGTAGAAAAAGTCTTGTCTTAGAAACTGTTATGAGACACTATTTAGTAAAATTCTGTAAGAAAAATTTTGAGATAGGTTTTGCACCATACTCCAGACTGGCCTGGAATTCATATGGCCTAGCCTGGAACATGCGTGAATTTTTTTGCATCTGCTTCTCAAGTGCTGGGATTATAGGCATGTGCCACCATGCTCAGCTTGAGGATGAGTTTTTGTATTTCTCACTCTGCCATAAAATAAATTATTTAAATTTTAATGTTTGATTATTATTGAGGTTTGGAGGGAGATTGTTTCTTTTTCTTTTTCTTTGAGACAGGCTCCCTATAGCCTAGACTGGCTTTGGACTTGTAGCAATCCTCTTGTTTCACCTCCTAAGTGCTTTGGATTATAGGCATGAGCCCTCATAACTAGAAACATTCTTTTTCCCTTGTTTCTGTGTTTGATTGTGGTGCTAGAGATCCAACCCAGGGCCTTGGTCATTCTAGGCTAGCATTTTACTACTGAGCTACATTCCTAGCCCTTTAACATTTAATTCTTAGCACAATAAGAAATTTGTTTGTTGTCCATTGAAATGGGTTGCATGCACAATATGCAAAAGGCCTTTTTTTTTTTTTTAACATAGAATTGGGTCTGGAGAGGTGGTTCAGCAGTTAAGAGCACTTGCTCTTCTAAACGACCAGAGTTCAGTTCTAGCAGCCACATGGCAATACACAACCATCTATAATTCCAGTTCCATGGTATCCAATACCCTATTCTGTTCTCCTCAGGTATTGCACACATGTGATGCACTTACATTCATGCAGGCAAAACACTCATACACATAAAATAAAAATAGAGGTATTTGCATTGTTCATTATTATATTTCCCTTAAAAGACCAACATTGTGCTGAGATTGGTGGTGCACGCCTTTAATCCCAGCACTTGGGAGGCAGAGGCATGCAGATCTCTGTGAGTTCAAGGCCAGCCTGGTCTACAGAGTGAGTTCCAGACCAGCTGGGGTACAGGGAGACTGTCTCAAAAAGACCAGAAGAAGAAAAAAAAGACCAACATCTTTTTTTTTTCTTTTCTTCTGTCTCTGAGATATATTTGAAATAATGTATCAATCTGTAGTTACATTTCTTCAGAACTTAAAATATTGGTAACATGGTCAGGGTATCATTTAATTTAAGAAATAGTAAGGTTGAAAGATCAGATGGAGCATGTGTACATATGTATACTTACAGGTACAATTATGATAGCAGAAAAAAAAGTCTTACAGAAATTGCCTTAATAAAAACCAACTTTGTTGTTAACTGGATGTGGCAGTGTGTACTTGTAGCTGTACCATTTAGGAGGTTAAGGCTGGATGATTGCTTGAGTCCAGAAGTTTAAGACCATCCTGGGTGAGGGTAACATAGTGAGATCCATCTCCAAAAAAAAGTTATAAAAATATAAGACTTTAGCCAGGCGTGGTAGCACATGCCTTTAATCCCAGCACTTGGGAGGCAGAGGGAGGCGGATCTTTGTGAGTTTGAGGCCAGCCTGGTCTACATAGTGAGTTCCAGGACAGCAGGGGCTACAAGGAGACCCCGTCTCAAAAAGACCGAAGAGGTGGGGGGAGGATTTTAAAATATACAAGTTTTTTTTTTTTTTTTTAATCTCAGAAACCATTTATGTAAAAAATAATACAAAACCAACTTCCAAGCCAGGCATGGTGGCTTGTGCCCATAATTTTAGCACTCAGGAGGCTGAAGCAGGAAGATCACTATGAGTTTGAGGCTAGCCTGGACTACATGAGTTCCACACCAGCCTAGGCTACAATGTGAGACCTTCAAAAACAAAGCAAACTCCAATTTGTTTTTTAAAAAATATTTATTCTTTTTATTTTGTGTACACGAATGTATTGCCTGCACGTGTGTATGTGTACACATGTCGTGCAATGCCTGGGGAGGTCAGAAGGTTTCAGATCCCCTAGAACTGGAATTATGGGTAGTTGTTAGCTGCCATGTGGGTATTGGGAATCAAAACCAGGTCCTCTGTAAGAGTAGTCAGTACTCCTAACCGCTGAGCCAACTCTGCAGCCCTGCACACTATTTCCATCTCATATTAGATATCTCAATTTGATGTGCATGTTTAAGATATAAATATTTGTATCATTAACATACAGATATAATATACAAATATATTAAGTATATATTTTTACTCAGTGGGTAAAAATGCTTGCAGTGCAAGCCTGACAACCCAGATTTGGATTCCTGGAACCCATATAAATGCTGGATATAGTTTGTCCTCTGATCTCCACACTCATGCCATGGCATGTGTGCACCCTCACACACAAACATGTACACAGGCTTACACACAAAAAAATAAATACTAAAAATACTGTTAATATTAGGTGCATATTACCAAATGCCTGGCCCTATTCTATATGCTTTATGTAGACTGTTTTGTTTATTATATGGATTATCTCATTCATATGTTATCCAATTTAGTATTTGCAGAAACTCTAAAGTAGATGCCACTATTATCTATATTTTACCGATGACACGGAGACATTAAGCAGTATATTAAAGGACACATAGCTATGATAAGGCTGAACCGAGATTAAGCCTAAAGGGATATGTATATATAGATATCTTATGTTTAAAATTTTTTGTGTGGTGCTACGGATTGAACCTAAGACCTTGTGCATGATCTACCATTAGGACTATCTCCAACTCTATAGTATCATTTTGAAAATTAAAAGTTTATAAGATAATTTCAAAGTATAATTTCCTTTAACCCCCATTCGCAAAGAAAACCAAATGTATAGATCAAAAGGGCACTCAAGAGGGCAGAGCCTTTACACTAGTCTGCTTGAGAGGCGATATATAGCATTCCAACAATTCTGTGTTGGGGGAAATCATTATGGTATTGTCTTCACTGAGCACACAGGCAAACAAGTTGATTGCCTTTCTGCTCTCCTGCTTTTCAGAATGGTAGTCATTATGTGTAATTGTGAATAACTTTTGAGACTGTAAAACACACATGCACATAAACACACACTGACACCTTTGAAGTTAGAAGACTTTTCATTAGAAACATGTGCCATGAAATACAGGGTAAGAGTAAAAGGATTGTAGGTTGGTTAGTTTGTTCTTTATGTTTGAGAATTTGAGATAAATAGCCTTGGTATTTATTTTATTGGTTGATTTAGTTTTTAGAAAGTCTTGCTATATAGCCCAGACTAGTCTTGAATTTACTACCCCCACTCAGCCTCCTGAGTGCTGGGATTATACTACGTGCCAGCACACTTGCTGTGGATCTATGTTCTTTCTGAATCATTCCCTGTATACTTCTGACATCTTGATAAATCCCTCAGAACATTTTATATGTCAGTTGTAAGTTTTTTGTTTTTTTTTTTTTTTGGCTTTTCAAGACAGGATCTCCCTCTAGCCCCAGCTGGCCTGGAACTCGCTATATAGACCAGCCTGGCCTGGAGCTCACAGAGATCTGCCTGCCTCTGCCTCCTGAGTGGGGATTAAAGGCCTGTGCCAGTATACCCATCTCTATTTTTAAACATTTAATAAAATTTATTGAAAAATAAGTTACAGTAAAACACTTGCATTTTAGTAGATAGAATCAACTTTACAAAATGTATAAATCTGTGGAGCTAGAAGATACAGAATATTGCATCATCTCAAAATGTTTCTATAGCACTCTTTAAAATCAGTTTTCTGCCGGGCGTGGTAGTGCACACCTTTAGTCCCAGCATTTGGGAGGCAGAGGTAGGCAGATCTCTGTGAGTTGAGTTCAAGGCCAACCTGGTCTACATAGTGAGTTCCTAGCCAGCTGGGGCTACAGGGAGACCTTGTCTCAAAAAAATAAATTAAAAAAAAAAAACAAAAAGTAAAATAAATAAAATCAGTTTTCTTCACTCTCTAGACCTTTGACGGAGGACTTCTTTGTCACTGTAGGCTAATTTTGCCTTTTGCAGAATTAAATATTAGTATAATCTCATGGCTTGTATTCTTTGGGGTCTGGCTTCTTTAATTCAGCACAGTGCTTTTGAGTCTTTCATGTTGTGTCTCTCAGTGAGAGTTCATTTTTTTTTGCCCTTAACATTGAAAACCTTTTAAATTTTGAAATAATTTTACTCTTAAAGAAGAGCTTTCATGGGGCTGGAAAGATGGCTCAGCGGTTAAGAACATTGGTTGTTCTTGCAGAAGACCAGGGTTTGAATGCCAGCACCCACATGGCAGCTAACAACTGTCCATAACTCCAGTTTCAGGGGATCCGACAGCCTCTTCTGACCTCCACCGGCATTGCATGACACGGATGCACTTACTTACATTCAGGCAATACACATATACACATAAAATAAAAATAATAAAATTTTAAAAAGATGAGCTTTCATTTTTCTTACCTTCTAATAACATCTTGCTTAACCAAGTACAACTATAAAAACTAAGAAATTAATGTTACTATAACATGATTAATCAAAATACAAACTTTATTCTTTGTCTCTCTTTCTTTTTCCATTCGAGAATCTAATTGAGAATTCCATATTGCACTTAGTTATCTTATCTTTGATGTCTGTAAAATGGATTCTAAATCTTTCATTGCTTTGATACTTTTAAAGAGTAATATACTAGTTAGGTATTTTGTAGAATGTTCCATAATATGGGTTTTCTTTTTAATAGTTTCATGTATTATGCATATTATAAGAATACAACAGAAGCCAGGTGTGGTGGCGCACACCTTTAATCTCAGCACTTGGGAGGCAGAGTCAGGCGGACCTCTGTGAGTTCAAGGCCAGCCTGGTCTACATAGTGAGTTCCAGG